CAGCACGGTGGTGGTGTGCTGTGAAGTTGTTTTCAACTCATAGTGTTCCTGTATAGGGTTTCTGAGGCTGTAAATCTTTACAGGAGCAGAAAGCCTCATCTTTCACCCGTGGAACAGCTGCTAGATTGAAACTGGTGATCTTGCGGTTTTTCAGTCCAACTTGTAACCCACTACGCTACCAGGGTCCAAATATATATGGAGTGGTGTGGCACTAGAGGTCAGGGGTTCAAACCCACCAACTGTTCCTAGGAAATCCTGTACAGGGGTTGCTATGAGTCAGAACAGACTTGATGTCACTTTATACACACATTTGAGTAATGGTGTTGGAGAAGAATCTTAGAGGTATAGACTACCAGAACAAACCAATCTATGTTGAAAGAAGTATAACCAGAATGCTACTTAGAAGCCAGGATGGTGAGACTTACTCCCTTATACTATGGATATAGTATCAGGAGGGACCAGTCCCAGGAGAAGGACATCATTCTTGGAAAAGTAGAGGCTCAGCGAAAAAGAGGAAGATCCCCAATGAGATGGATTGGCACAGTGGCAGCAGCAATGGGCTCAAGTGTCACAATGATTGTGAGGAAGGCTCAGGACCAGTTAGTATTGGTTAGTATTTCATTCTACTTTACATGGAGTCACTACAAGTGGGAACCACACTTGAATAGCCCATAGTGCTTGTCGTGTGCCATGAAGTTGGTTCCCACTCATAAGGACCCTGTATAGGGTTTCCAAGGCTGTAACTGTTTACTGGAGCAGAAAGCCTCATCTTTCTCAGGGGTACAGCTTGTAGAGTTGAACTGCTGACCTTGTAATTAGCAGCCCAACTGATAACAACTAGGATACTAGGGCTCCTTGTCTGAAAAGCCCATAATTTTACCCTGAATTTATGTGGCAAAAATTTTAAGTGCATATATATGGAGTTATGGTGTGGCCCTGTAGGATTAAAGCTCTAGGCCACAAGGTTGTTTGAATCATAAGGATGGTGGTTCAAACACACCAGCTGATCCTTGGAAAAAGATCACTAATAATCAGAAGCAACGCAATGGCACTTAACAACAACAATGTATGTATATGTGCATATTTCTAGAAAGAAGAAAGCATTTAATATATCTTCAGTCTCAAAGATATGTACATTAAATCCCCAAAATGGTTGAATAAATAGTGGTTAAAGCAATGAATAGAGATTAGTTAGAATTTTTTCAGGGCTATACAACCTGCCCCACAAAGTTTCCTACGTTTAGTGAGCTGTGTGTTTGTAATTTTAATGAGCAAAAAGGCTGTTCAAAAGAAAGGGTTGGAAGGCAAATTAAGAGTCATTTTTATTAAAGATTTGAAATTCTGAGAATTTGAATTTTTTTTTTCCATTTCAGAAAGTCATTTTATCACATCAGAAAATTTCAAGCATATGGCATCTGAAACATTTGACCATTCATGTTGGATCATTTTAGTATTTTTTCCCTGTGTTAACTGACTTCAAACAAAAGGCTTGGCTCCTCCTTTCAACCCACTTTTTTTTCTTCCGATGCTTCAGTAGGCTGTGAAATCAAGATGATGAATTAACTGTGGTTCTATTTGAAGTAGTAATTCTCAATCTTATAATGACTTGATCCCCAAGATAAATTAAACAGAAGACATTTCTATAATATTCTGGAAATAATTAGCTGAAAAGTAAGAGAAGAGGAAAATGGTATTAGGGGACCTTCAAGAGGAAAAGGAGCCTGTAAGAGAAATGAGCACCACAGACAAAATCAACAAGGTTAGATGCCCAATAGCACAACATTCCAAAGCAGAGATATACAACAACAATAAAAAAAATTAAAACAGGGAATAAAGATGGCAAGGACAGAATACTGAAATTTTGAATACATGAAATGAAAAAGATCAAAACCATCACAACCGAGCTTTTCAAGAGCATCTTTAGCTTGATAACCTCAAGGCGTTGTAGGGCTCCTCATTATTTAAGGCAAAGCCAGAGCCAAGGAGAGAATATCCTAGAAGGAAGGATGTTGCCAGGTGATTATCAATAAACACAAAAGGCTCAGGGGAACAATCTTTTGTGGTAAAGGAAAAGTGTCTACCAGTGAGACTTGCTATTTTTTCCACTATCAAAAAGGAATAATGTAGAGAGAAGCAAATTAGGTTTTCAAACATCGGCCTTTTAAGAAATTATTTTGCAGTAATCCCAGAAGCGTTTTAAGCGACTCTTGTGTCCTCACATATGACAACCAGATCAGAACTACTGGTGGTTCCGAAATCCAAACTGAAAGGAAAGCAACATTCAGTGCCTCTCTTGTGCTTCAAGCTCCAGTTTCCAGTCTTCGGTCAACAGGCTCCACAATGTCCTTTAACCCCGAGAGCCCCAGGAGAAGAAGTGTATCCTCAAACGAACCCGATCCCCAGACGACCCTGCCTGGGTCCTTTTTCCCTGGCGCATCCTCCTGTGACTCTTCGTCATTCTAGTAACAGCTCAGTTTTTCTTCTTTATATGTCTTCCCAAATCCCATTAAAAAAAAAAAAAAAGACTGGATTGCTGCTAGAGCGCGTACCACCCCCTCCCCATCCCGCCGCCCCTAGAGGGGCCGGGGCGGCTCCCCACAACCTCAGGAAGGAGGGCCGCGCGCCTCTGCGCGCTCCCGTTGCTATGGGAACGCATAGGGCCCGGCTGCCCGGAGGGGCAGGCGGGAGGTGAAGCGGCGGATCTTGAGGGAGACGCTATCGCAAGATGGCGTCTGCGAGGCCGGGGGATGCGGAATGAGCGCTCCCCGCCGGGGGCACTGCGCGGCTGCTCCTCTCCCGCCGCCACCGCCGCCACTGCGGCGCCGCCTCTCCGCCCGCCACAGCGCCGCGACCGAGCCTCCCCGCCTCGCAGGTACAGCCGCCTGCGCGCACGCCCCGCGTACTACACAGATGGCAGCGACAAGTGCCGGCTCGCCGAGGGCTAGCGGGTATCCCCTGGTGTGGGTGCGCCTGACGATAACGCGTGAATAACTTTTTCTTGCAGAGACCCCCTGCGCCCCGGCCTGCAGCGTCTCCCCGCCACGCCCCTCCAGCACCCTACTCTCTGAGGTGTGAGCGCGTCGGGCCGATGCGGTGATTTCTGGCGGGCCTGGGAGGAGCGCGTGGACTCGCAGGCGACGAGCGCCCTTACAATGGCTCTGACCCTGTTTGGTAAGTGCAGCCCTTTCCTGCACCTCCGCAGGTGGGGCCGCGCCCCGGGATCGGGGGTTATGGGGCCGGGGCTGCGGCGAAGGGACGCCATGCGCGACCCTGGTGCCTGTCCGGGTGGTGGAGTTGGGGCGCCCAGGGCGCCGGGCTCGCTCCCTCGCGCCTCTCCCATTGTTTCCTCTCCAGGCAGGGCCGATGGGCGTGTGCTCCGCTGGCCAATTCTGGACTGGGAGACTCTGGGGTCTTCGGTGTTCTGTAAACGTACGACATGTCTAAGATGCAAACTTGGGAGAGAAGTTAGCTGGTTGTTTCTAAACCTACGATCCTCAAGTAGGTAAATAAAGATTCCGGAAACTTTATTCATCTTGACCAGGATGTCTATTGCATCCCTGTTTTCCCTGGAATTGCCAAACGCATGTGTTGCTTCCTGTTGGATTGAATGTGGATTTTTTGGACTCTTGTATTCCTTTGGAAACAGGAATAAGTGGGGATGAACTTAATTTAATGTTTGTAAAAAAAATTAAAATGTTTGTTGTGACGAAGGAGAGCAGACAGAAGAAAGTTGGCTACTGGGAAATAACTACTTCCAAGCTTATCTTGGAATATTCATTAGGAGAAATGTTATTTCTGTGTTGTAATTATTGCAGCCCTATTGTCTCTTGGCTAATACTTCAAGATGTGTGTATTTCCCAGAGTTCCAAGACATTGGATTGGGAAGAAAGACTGAAAAGATAGTGTTTAATTTCACAAAACTGACTATGGGATAGGAGTACCCAGCTTTAAGGAAATTTGTGAAATTTTAGCTGTTCAAATTTTCAAAGAGTGAAGTACAATTATTGTAACTGACAAGGGAAGATAATCCAATAGGCAAGGTAAGCAAGTGTTTATTAATCTGTAGCGAACAATTTCACTTTCCCGATGTGAAATTTGTTCACAACGTATTGGTAAATGAACACAACTAAGCCCATGTTTTTACCTTGCTGAGTACTGTCAGGGATTGTAAATTTGAAGGGAGGCTTGATTCATTTGAAAGATGCCAGCCATACCTAAAAGCAGAATCTTCTGATGGTGAAAAAATATACAAACAACAGATTAGTAAGTAAGCATAAATAAACCCTGCTTAAATTATTTATTGGGTAATCCAACACTGGCAGCTGATATCTATAAGGACAGTTTTAGTAAGTTACAGTATCAAGTTTCCAGTTAAATTTGAATAGTGTCATTTGATCAAGCACATTATAGGTATCACATACCCCAAATGACCTTTGATGTATAGAGCTCACAATGAATCAAGCTGCTAGAATCAAAGAGTTAACATGATTTAACCATCTTATTTTATAAATTAAAATTAGACCCAGTGAGGTTATTTCCCAAGGTCTCATGACCCTTATTTGGCAAAACTCGGTCTAGAATACAGTTACACAATTTGCCAGTCTTCAGTCTGGGGCTATGTTTACTATGCTTAAGTACACATAGTATTAGAAGTGACATTTCTGTTATTGGTTCTCCAAAGGTGCTTTTTAGAAATGTTTCATCTTAACCTTCACCCAATTTACAATAAAAAGTTATAGAAAAACCAAAAAACAGAAGTTTCATCTTTCTCTGAAACAAATGATTAAAATTTTGCTGTTGTTTTCTAATATCTTGTATCAAGTCTCCATTATCTACTAGAAGTAGTGTCCTTGAATTTGGGCATTTTTATACAAAAGTTAAAAATTATGGGAGGTGTTATTCATAGTTGGTATTTTCTTATGAAGAACCATTTATCTTGCCTTATTGTAGCTAATATATCATAGTAGGATTTCCAGAAGTGAATTTCTAATTTCTGACTAAATTAATTTTTGTCTTAATGATAAATTCTGCATTTTCAAGGCTTGTTTTTAAAGATAAGGCTTTTACAATTCCTGGTGAATAAAGCAGATGAATTGGGAAATAGTTGGCTAATGTTGGGGAGACAGGGAATGTGAAAACATCTATGTAAATATGAGGTGAGTTCAAAATGATCGCAATAAAATGGAGTTAAATTATAAAAATAAACGCAAGCTTTAATTTTTCAACATAAGCTCCGATCAAGTTCAAAACACCTATGTAAGTGGTATTACCAGCCATTTAGTTTATTCTTAAGAATGGCAGGGCCTGGGATTAAAAACTTTATGTCCTCATACTGTTAGAAAAACATGCACTCAACTTGCCCTACCTAAACGAAGAATTTCTAGCTCCTGCCGGAAAGCTAAGTCTTTCCTCAGACTATGAATGTAGATCTGAGATTACCCTGAATAGGATCTATTTGGAATTGAGGATTCAGATTTGGGATGACTGATCAAGTTTCACCTTCCTGCAAAACTGTTGTTAAATGCATTGGAGTTGGTTCCAATTCATTATGATCCTGTTTAGGATTTCTGAGGCTTTCAATGTTCATGGAGCAGAAAGCCTTATCTTTCTCCTGTGGAACAGCTGGCGGGCAGGCTTGAACTTCAGACCTTGTAGTTTGTAGTCCAGGACTTATCGTTTGGAGCTACTGTGTAGAAGTGTGATAATGCTCTTTTAAAGGATTCCTGAATTTTAAATCGTTAAATATTAGAAATGTAGATGGAAAAAGGAAGTGTGGAAGTGAAGTATAAGAAACTACAACAGGCAAATAAAAATCAAGTACCCTTAAAATTTTCTAGTCATCTTGTTGAAACATAGAATTTAGTTAGCAAAATTCACTTTGGTTACAACTTTTAAGACCATTTATGTGATATAAAGCAAAGTATACCTGTATGCAGAGACTACTTATTTATTTTTTATCTCAGTCCCCAAAGTGTAGACCACTCAGGGATGTGTGTTAAAAATGTAGATTCCTTAGCTTGAAGACCTACACAATCTGCATTTCTAAGGGTTATCGATGTTAAGTGCCAGTGAGTTGGTTCTGACCTGACCCATAGTGACCCTGTGTAGGGTTTCCAAGGAATGTCTGGTGAGCTTGAACCACCGACATTGTGGTTCAGACCAACTTTGCAGTCCAGTGCATAGGAGATTTTAAATGGACTGCTCCGGTGATTCTAATGCACGCTCAAATTTGAGAACCAAGGAAATTTGATCAAACAAGTTCAATTCAGAATAACTTTTTTGTTTATGTTGAGAAGAGCCCAGAAACAGTTCATATTCCTTTATGTTTACTCTTAAAAAAAAAAATGTTGCGACAATATACATAACAAGACACTAATTCATTAATTTCTGCATGTATAATTCAGTGACATTATGTCTTCATGTTGTTGTGCAACCATTACATTATCACTGTCCTCTTCTGAATTAGTTCACCTATTAACATAAACTTAATGTCCCCTAAGCAAAACTCCCTTTTTTCACTCCCTCAGTCACTGAGAATCTTTGGTTTCTATTCCAAAATCTGGTTGATTCTCATTCATAGCAAATTTATAGGACAGAGTAGAGCTGTCTATAGAGTTTCCAAGTAAATCTTTCTGGAGGCACACTGCCCACATCTTTATCCCGAGTAGTAGCTGGTGGGTTTGAACCACCAACCTTTCGATTAGCAGCTGAGTGCTTAACCACTGCACCACCATAGAATTCTTTGATTTCTATATATTTTCTTATTTGATATAAGTGAGATAGATGATATAGTATTTTTTTTGTGTGACTAACTTATTTCACTCAACATAGTGTATTCCAGTTTATCCATCTGTGGCATGATATTAAGACATTTTCTCTTCTCTTTATTCTTAATGATCAAGTTAGAACATTCAGAGGAGCAATGAGGAAGTAAGAGTCTGTTGAGATGGCGATGAGGAGAAGGTGGGGGACAAGAAACCAGATAAATGACTTACCAGGTTTGGAAGTCAGAAGTCACCATAGTTTTTAGTACATAAGGCTCACCAGAATAGCCAATGCCAGAACACAATTTTGTGTATGTTGCTTGTTAGTTGGCTTAGGCTTGAATACAGCCTAGTCTAGTTTTTGTTTTGTGCTCGGCATTTCTTTCAGACTTTTTATAAGTGTGGAGAATGTTCGTTTTAGAGAAAGTTGATGAAAGCTTGCTTTTAAAAAGTGAAATTAACTAATATAATTTTACATTTATATAATTTTTTCCATTTGGTAAATATATTGTAGAAACTCAGCAAAATACCCCTCAAATTAACTGCAGAGCAAAGAGTGGCCCATCACTCAGCCTCACTAGCAATCACTTTTGCTGTTTAAAAGGAGATTTCACTCTTTATTGTGAATTGAGTGAAGGTTCACAGAGCAGATCATCAGTCTTACATTCTACACATCTTACGCTTTGCATCATTACAGTGACTGCAATACCCTCCCTGTACCAACAGTTAACAGTATTTTCCACTATTCACTTTATTCCTCCCTGTGCCCTCTGCAACCTTCATCTTTTCTCTGCCAACCTTCCTCTTGTATGTTGCCTTTCTCATCACCCATGTTAACATGTGTCTGCCCTCTAGCCCGTGCATAATTTTTCCCTCCCCCTATCCTGTAACCTAAGGAGCTCTGGTAGCGTAGTGTTACGAATCGGGCTGCGAACCTTAAGGTCAGCAGTTCGAAACTACCAGCCGCTCCGCGGGAGAAAGTTGCGGCTTTCTACTCCCATAAAGATTTACACCCTCGGAAACCCTGTACAGGGTCGCTATGGGTCAAAACTGACTCGACAGCACTTAACAACGACAACATCTTGTAACCTGGAGTCCTGGTGTGGCGCTATGGGTTAATGTGTCAGACTGCAAAGTCGTTTGAACTGCAAGGTAGGCGGTTCAAGCTCATCAGCTGCTCCTTAGAAACTCTATACAGGGTCGCTATGGGTTGCAATTGACTCGACGGCACTTGACCACAACAACAGCATCCTGTAACCTGGTGTGATGCTGTGGGTTAATGCGCTGGACTGCAAAGTCAGTTTGTACTGCAAGTTCGATGGCTCAAGTTCACCAGCAGCTCCTCGGAAATCCTATACAGGGTCACTATGGGTTGGAACCGACTCAACAGCACTTAACAACAACCCT